TTGCTACTTTGAACATTTTTTTCGAACTCACATCAAATTCCATTTCCTTCATTAACCTATCTGATGCTTTCGTCATTGCAGTTGCCACTGCCTGTTTTGCAACCTTCTTAGCCTTCCTATACTCAAACTCCGCTTCCTCCGTCATGTTCCTTCTCCATACCCTAAACCTTTTCTTCTTGACCTCCAAAGCCCTTCTTATATCTTCATCCCACCACCACGTCTCACCATGCCTACACTTTCCTTTCGTCCATCCACATACTTTATCTGCCGTAGCCAACATACAGTCCCTGTATCTCTCCCAAACATGTCCATCCTTACCACTTTCCCAATTTTCAGCCACCTTCACTTCAAATGCCTTCCTCACCTCTGCATCTTGCAACTTCCATGTCTTTCTCTTTGCCACAAACTTATCCTTCTTCCTCCTCCCCATTTCTTTTGATGTCACATCCATCACTCCCATACTATGCTGCAGCATACCAGGTATCGCCTTCACATTCTTCACATACTTCCTATGTTTGGCCTTTACCAATATATAGTCTATCATAGACCTAGGCTCCCCTGACCTATAAGTAATCAATCGCGCTGGTTCCCTTGTAAACCAGGTTTTTCCCACCACCATGCTATGTGCATCCGCCAACTCCAACACTCTACTCTATCCCCATCCCCCATGTACACCTTCATATCCGTCTGCATCCGCCCCCACATGACCATTCAAATCACCCAACAACACCACAAACTCATCCAACCCCGCTTGCCCAATCTCGTCAGAAACATCTTCATAAAACCTATCCTTCTCCTCTTCCTTCCTACTTTGTTGCGGAGCATATCCTGATATCACCCTCACTATTACTTTTCCAAACACCATCACCACCACAATTACACCATTGCTTCTCCGCCTCACTTCCAACACCTTCACCAACTCTTCTCTTACCATCACACCAACTCCTTCCGTACCATCATCCCCCTTCCACCACAACTTATATCTTCCACCTTTAGCCCCCACAAACCTTGTACCCTCACCCTTCCATCTGATCTCCTGTAATGCAGCCACGTCAACCATTTTCCTCTGCAGCTCCTCCACCACTTCCAAACTTCTTCCTGTCAACGTGCCTACATTCCAGGTACCAAACCTCCAACCCCTTGGTCTACAAGTAGTCCTTCCATCTATAGTGCCTTGCACCTCCTCACTATAGAGTGGGGTGCCAGTAGCCAGACCATCCACAGGGCCTTGCACCACAACCCCATGGACTGGGTCTCCGGAGATTCTTCGCACCCTCTTCTGCCGGATACTGAGGGCCATTGTTATTTCCGTCATCATAAGTATTATTTTTTGGCTAGTTTTTACGCAGGACACCCTTCCTTACGCAACCACAGTTATAAGCGGTGGGCCTAGCCTTTGATGATCCAACATCACTCACAAGGCAGTGAGGGTCAGTTTAATGTCATAACCAGGACATGATAAATGACACCTGCATAAATGACATAATAAATGACACCTGCATAACAAATTCATTCATTAAATCTATAAATAGTTTTAAGGTAATAATAATAAAAGTTGAATGTCAAGATCATATTGTTAAACTACAACAAAGGTTTGATTGATGGATAGATGAATGACCTAACTATGGATAATAATTAATATTACTTTCATCTCTAAAATAATAGAAAAAGTAGTTTTTAATCAACTGTCATCCTATTTAAACTTTAACTCCTTGCTACCTGTATCTCAATCTGGTTTCAGACCTGCTCACAGTACTGAAACTTCTTCATTCAAAATACACAATGATATCCTTCTCTCTAGTGACAATAGTAATCTTACTCTTCTTCTTGCTCTTGACTTTTCCTCGGCTTTTGATACTGTTGACTATACTATTCTCTTGAGACTGCTGCATCATTCTTTTAATATTACTGATTCTTGTCTATCTTGGTTTTCTTCTTATCTCTGTAATCGTTTTTCTTCTGTTGTTCTCAATAATTCTACTTCTAACTTCTCTACTCTTACTTTCGGGGTACCTCAGGGTTCTATCCTTGGCCCTCTTCTATTTATACTCTATACTTATGAACTACCTCGTATTATTAATAACTTTTCTTTCTCTGGTCAACTATATGCTGATGATTCTTACATTTATACTTCTTTTCCTCCATCTAATCTCGATAGTGTTCTTCATAATTTATCTCTATGTCTTTCTTCAATTATTGTTTGGTCTGACTCTATGTGTCTTAAACTTAATCCTTCTAAGTTTGAATTAATTTGTTTTAATAAATCTAAACACTCTATTACTATTCCTCCTATTATCTTACCTGATTCTAAAACTCTTGATGTCTCTCATAAGTTTCGTAGTCTAGGTTTTATATTTGATTCTACTATGTCTCTCTCTTCTCAGATTAATAGTGTTGCTAGAAGCTCTTACTTTCATCTACGTAGAATAAAAAAACTTTTGCCTTTTCTTGATGATCCTACTCTTCTCCTTCTTGTTACTTCGTTAGTCTTATCTAGGATAAATTATTGTAACTCACTTTACTATGGTCTTCCTGACTCTATACTCTATCCTTTAAGTAAAGCTTTTAACTCTGCTGCTCGTTTAGTTGCTTGTGCCCCTTTCTTTTCTCATATATCTCCATATCTTGTTCTCTTGCACTGGCTACCTATAAAATATAGAATAATTTTTAAAATTTGCACGTTCATGTATAAGTCTCAATCTAAATTATTTCCTAAATATTTATCAGATATATTAATTGAACCTAAACGCTCCGGTTTACGATCGTTTTCTTGTTCTCGCTTTTTCTTAACTTGTGTTAAACACTCTTTTGCCAAATCTGCTTTTGCTTTTTCTGGTCCTTTTCTCTGGAACTCTCTACCTACTTCTCTGACTACTTCTCCATCACTTGCGAAGTTCAGTGCGGATCTCAAGACACATCTGTTTTCAAAATTCATTGAGGAGCGCTGTTGAACATCGCGGAAATAGCGCTTTGTAAGGTAATTGTTTGATTGATTGATTGATTGATTGATTGATTGAATGTGAAAAAATAGCTGTAATTGAAATTAGATGATAATCTGTTGGTAATGAAAAATGTTTTATTTTAGAAATAGGATAAATTGTCCTTGATTTCTATTGTGGTGGGATGAATGATTGTAGAGTGAACTTGAAGTGTAACAGATAAATAATACCATGGAAGGAGACCATTTGGATTAATACCAGATAGCCATGTACAGGCCATGAACATCTATAAAATATACCATACTATAGAGAAGTCTATGGTACAGGTCTTCGTTAACATGTGCCGAGCTGTAGGTGGCGTAAACTGTTAATGCTGATTAGCGGCGGTTTATATTGTTAGTGAAATTACAAATTACACTCCTGCGCGAAAGTATTGTACGCTTGACTTATCTACGGTTTTTGGCCAATAACTAAAAACGAAGATACTGAATACTTCATGGAAGGTGGCAGAAAAATTGCGTAATGTCCCATATAATAATGTTCTATGTATATGAGATTATCGAAAGAGTTGAAAAATTAGACTATAGGGATTGACTGAAAGAAGGTGGATTAACAACACTAGAAAGTAGAAGATGCGAAGGATGCGAAAGATGTATAGATCTGAATAAGACATATATAACTGGAAAAGAAGAAACACCGTTCACCAGGTTCTTTAAACTAGAAAAAAGAAAAGGTTTAAGAGGCCATAGATACAAGCTCTTCAAGAAGACAAAAAATTCAATAAAGCAAAGATTCTTTAGCAGCAGGGTGGTAAACGCCTGGAACGAGCTGAGCGATAAAATTGTCCCAGGGGATTCATTCAACTATTTTAAAATCAAGCTAGGATACTATAAATGTATTTTGTAGTGATTCATACACAGATGCTAGTCTACTGAACCACTTTAAACTTTGTTATTATTTGTTATTATTATTTATATATTTAATCCATACTATTTCTATTAAAAACATATATATATATTTATTTATATATATAATGTAACTTTCTACATGTTATATTCCATATATGTGATCAAAAATTTATATCTCTGTTTAAATAAAGTCTATGAAAATAAATAATCTAAGAAAATTATTATAAATAAACAATGAACTTTATTTTTTGGCTTCAACGATTTTTAATGATAATCTTTAATCTTTGCTATTTATAATCTTTATTGAGCTTAAATTTAGCAGTTCTCGTATATTTTCGTCAGTCGCGGTACCTTGTTCGACTTCACGTAAGGATTACTATTTCCGCCGATTGTTGGTGCCTGTCCGGAAAATTCATCAATGGAGGTTAATTTAGGTACTGCTCGAAACTTTTATTAACAGTTATTTTGTAATAAAATTTTCTGAATGTTATATTTACTTACATTATGCAAAAGTAACGGATTCTTGCAAATAAACTCAATAAAAATAAAATCAAGTAAGTTAAGTTGTCACTGGCAGATTATCTTTCTTTCTATGGACTTAACTAAAGCCAACAAATGTACCTTAACCTTTACCTAGGCTGTGATGATCTATGTAGTGTCTAAGCTGTTATAAAAATTATAAATATATAAATAAATATATGTTGGTAATAGACCATAATTTTTACAATATTCTATAAAATAAGTTCTACCGAATGTTTGGCATTAATATGCTTGTAGTTCGTTTTTTTCGATTTTTCTCACTAAAGTCTTTTGGTGAACGTTTAGTTTATTAAAATTCAAAATAAACTTATTTTTCGAATTCATGCTGTTAATAAGGCCATATTTCGATTATAAATGAATCATCTTCAGTGAGATTTAGTTTATATAGGGATCTGCAATTTTAAGAAGCATGTAGTTGTCAACATGACTCATATATTGGGATTACTACTACCTCACTGACTAGAAGGCTTACGACACATAAACAAGAGTGGTGCTATCAAATCTCATTTGGGCTCAACACACTCAATCACTATAAGCCGTGAAACCCTCGACAGCAACAATAAATTAATATACCAGAACACCAACTACATGCATTATAAAATTGCAGAAGCAGTCATAATTGACATCAATAAACCAAAATAAATATACAACAAAAAATAACAACCTCACTCCCAACCCGGCGCTTAATCAACAATGAAAACAAAGAAGTAATAAAAACTAGCATTGTAAATAGTGACAAAGAAGAATATGATGCTATTGATGAAGAAAAGGAAACCAACGAAGACGGACCAGCCAATAAACAAACCTGACATCTAATTTCCATCTATGTTCACTTTGACAAAGAGCAGCATAAATTTAGAAAATAAGTTTATTTTGAATTTTAATAAACTAAACGTTTTCCAAAAAACTTTGGTGAGAAAAATCTAAAAAACAAACTACAAACATTAACGCCAAACATTTGGTAGAATTTATAGAATATTGTAAAAATAAATATATATACATATACAATACAAAGCAAAAAAAACACTTGAGAAAATCTAGCAAACCTTCATCAGCAAACCTTTAGCTTTTTTAATCTATTTTGAAAAATAGAATGTATAGTAAATTGAATAATTTTTTGAAATAATTTTAAGTTTATATTATAATGGTATTTAGTAATAATTATGAGTTGATTAGTGTCAAGGGATAGGATAGGGTTTGGTAGGGGTTAGAGAACATTTGTTGACCTTAGACTTAGACGAGTAAAAAAACTTATAATAATTGAAAATCAAATAAACCAAATTAATAAGAATAAGGGTAAGACTAATTGGCTGCTTTGCTTGCGGAAGATAATGAAACACAATTTTTCTTAATTTTTAATCAAAACAAATTGTTCTAATGTAATTAATATATTATTAATAACATGCATTTGAATAAAAGTTGTATTAAAATAATGCAGTTTATTACAACAACATCACAAAAATATATGGCGGCTTGCCTGAGATTTTTATTAATGTATGCGGTATTTAGCTGACTTTTCATGAAAACGTGATTTGTCTTAATTTAAATTTTAATTGAGACAAAATTTTATAATATAATTGAATAATTATTCATAATAGGTATTTAAACAAAAATTGTGTTAAGATAATGTGGTACGTCGACAATGTCACAAAATATAGTGACTCACTTGAGATGTTTATTAATATACCTAGTATTTGGCTGACTTTTCACAAAAACACAATTTTTCTTAATTTAATCAAAACAAATTGTTACAATATAATTGAATAATTATTCATAATATGTATTTAAGCAAAAATTATATTAAAATAATGTGGTACATTGCAACGATATCACAAAATATATAGTGGCTGACTATATTTTCAGCCACTATATTTTGTGATTTTGTCTCGATATACTGCATTATTTTAATACAATTTTGGTATATTTACATGCTATTTAATTATATTATAACAATTTATTCCTATTAAATTAAGAAAAATTGTGTTTCTGTGAAGTCAGCCAAATACTGCATACATTAATTAACATCTCAAGTCAGCCACTATATATCATCATTGTAAGCATCATCATCACAATTATTATCATTGTAAGCATTATCATCTTAATTGTTTTGTTTTTGGGGCAAAACATCTAGCCTAGAAAGTTTATTGGATAAAACTTTCTTCAGCACTATTCCATGGTCTGAAGGGTGAAAGTGACAAGGGATGAAAGTTCAACCATGAAATTAAAAAAGCAAATCATTTTTAGTTCTGGTGAAACCAGGGCATCGAACCGTAATTTTTTCGTTATGGTATCGATTCAATCAGAAAAACGATTTCGGTTCCGGTTTTTGTTCCTGAAATATTGAGTTTTTTGGTTTTCCTTTTCGCTCTGAAACTTTATTTTTTCAAACATAATTTCTTAAACGCATGTAGCGGACACACAGAAATCCAACTATCACCACAATGCCAATTGAAATTAAATTTTATATTGTGAATAATAAGAAATCAATAACAAAAATGATTTTTAAATGTCGTCAGTATAAAAGGAAACGTTTCTAATATTTTTTTCAACAAATTAAAACAATCATTGCAAAGATATTTTGAAATCGCTCATAATAATATAAGATTGTTTCTAAAAAGATGAAAATTATCTCTGATTATTAATATATCTTCTTAAATGTTTTCATTGAAACCACTTCTGCAGTCTCTGAGGATAAATTTTAATCTAAAAACAAATATGTAGCTGGTACTTCAAAATTTTGAAGATGATCGCACTTGATCTCTAATTTTGAAGATTATATTGGATTTCTCTTCACGTGTCAATTCTTACTCAAATTATCGGCGAACTCAATCGGAAAACAAACGAAAAGAGAATAACAAATTTTCAAAGATAATAAAAATTAACATAGCATTTTAAAAGACGAAATTTTAAAATATAAAAAATTATTTTTTCTGAATTTGACAAAAATATTTTCTTCTAAATTTTTAGCATCAAACCGTTATTTATTTTGGTCTTGGTTTCGGTTAAACTAGCAAACAATATTTTGGTTCAGTTATGGTTTTTGTTCCAAGCAAAATTTTGGTTTTTAACAATTTTCGGTTACGGTTCAGTTCTGGTTCAATGCCCTGAGTAAAACATTTTAATAGAGGAAAATAATAGAAGGCAAAACGTGCTGCTACTATTCTTGACATAGATCAGATTTCTTGTTGTTTTGATATTAAGTTTAGCAATTGATGTAACACCATTCTTGATCTAATTTTATGAGAAATAATGTTACTTTAAATCACTGGAATAGCATCCGCAATAATTAATGAAAATTGTATCTATACAGAGTAATAATATTCAACTGGTAAAAATGTTAGATGTGAGAAGATGAGTTATTTTTATGTGTAAAACAGGGATGCATGTAATGTGGCAGGTTTAGGCTGTCAAACTAATGAAATCGGTTGATGGGAAAAATTTAGCAGGTCAAAATTATTGCTGTCCAATTAAAGAAAAAACACATTATTTTGTTAACAAATTCATAACTAATGCCTGCATTAAAAAATATTGTTGATTGTTTCATCAGAATTTAAATGAAATATATTCTAAATCATTTTTTTCATAACTTACTGTTTTACATAACATTATGTGCTAAGCAAGATGTTTTGCATTTGATATCCGTATATCTGTCGTGTCAGCTATTAACAGCTGTTTGAGTCTTTGCAACCTTACTCTCAAAAAATTTATGTTAAACTTGAGTGAACCCACTTGTTGTGGCTTAGTTATAATGATGCGCTACAACAAATCTTGCATTCAATTCACCAGCATATAACCGTTTCTTTCACCAGGTGGCATTTGAGAATGTTGTATTTCAATTTGCAAAAAAGTATTATTTTTTAACAGTTGTATGCCATTTTCAAGTTCAAGTCTGTTAAATTAGATTTAAAAATTAATGGAAACGTTTTAATAATATTAATCAAAGAAACTGAAATTAAAGAAAATTTCACATTTTCATTAATTTTATGTCCTGTTTAGCGTGAGGTTTTGCATTTTAATTTTTACTGGTTTCAAGCTCTATTCTTATTTTAAAATAAGCTAGCCTTAAGACCTCAATAACCTTCACAGAAATTTTGCCTGAAGAGCGTAAAGGCATGTTAAAAGTTATTTGCAATAACTTAGAAACTTTGGCAGACAATGGTACTACATCAGAATTTCTCAATAAGTTGATTGTCTTAACAGATATATGTGAAGCTTGGAAGAATAATGACACAGTAACTGTTCTGATTTCAAATGGGACAGAACAGTCATCAAATGATTTAAATAATGATTATGGAGAAGATTCACTGCTAGGTTTTTTACATTTTATAATAACTTTTACGTTTTCGTACAGGTCATTCTATCAGTTGTAATTAATAAAGCTATTTTTTCATGTCATTTTGAGCCATATTTTTAAAACCACGTTTTATCAACTTATTGTAAACTCAAACACACCTTTTAAGCATCGAAATGCTCCTAATGTTATTACAAGCCAATTTCAGAAATGCAATTTTTTGTTAATTTCAAGTTTTGTTTCTTAAATTTTTTAACTACCTTGTATTTTTAAGATCCAGAAAATAATCTGAAAAATTTAAAAACTGAAATGAAAACAGAATCCGAAAATGAAAATGAACACTTAAGTTCAAGTAATATTATATGATACTTTTAGGATTATGAACTTTGTGATTTTGACATTATAAATTTATTCACCTTATTTTTACAATTTCAGAAAATGAACCAAAATATAATGATATAACATTCTGTTGTGAGCATTGTGGCAAATTATGTAAAACCTCTCAAAGGCTAAGGAACCACATAGAGGTTGTTCATAAAAGGGAAACTGCAAACGATACAGTCGAAAAACAAACTTTTCAATGCTACATTTGCAATCGACATTCTGTAAGCTCAGAAGGCTTGAAACGTCACATGTGGATACACACGGGAGAAAAAAGGTGCATGTGCAGCAAATGTGGTAAACAATTCTCGCGCCCGGAACTCTTGAAACGCCACACAAAAATTCACACGGGGGAGGAACCTTACATTTGTTCCTTCTGTGGCAAGAAATTCGTCTTCAGTCAGCATTTAAAGAAGCACATCCGAATACACACCGGCGAAAAGCCGTATGTCTGCAATGTCTGTTCCAGAGGGTACGCCAATGCTGAAACGCTTAGGAAACATATGGAACTCCATTCTAAAGGATAATCTGTTATGTACAATAAACGTGCATATATGCATAGTATATATATTGTTTATTTTCGATTTTGGTCTTTGTTAACGTTGATAAGAGTGCGTTACAAATACTCTGTTTATACACACACACACAGATATATATATATATATAATTTATACATTCACATATATATATATATATATATATATATATATATAGCGATTCTTAAATCATTGAATAATACAATTTTTATTGTTTATAAACATAACAAAATCAATGGTTTTTCATAGGTTTTGTTTGTTATGTCTAGAACTGATAAATGCAACTGAAATTATTTTGTTTGTACAATGAAAAAATTATTTCCATAAGTGAAGTTCAACTTTAGATTTGTCAAACTAAAAGACGGTAATTGTGATTGTTGTTTTAGTTGAATGGTGACAAGATTATAACAAACTAAATTTTGAAAATTTTAAGCTGTATTAAATTTATCAAGAATCTGACGAAATATCAATTAGTTTAGCTCAAAATAATGTTTAAATTTTGGTGGAGGTTAAGAGAGTAACAATTTTTCAGTTTTTGTTACAATGGTGCAGACTTTTCTAACTTCATCTCTACGGCGTTTTGTACAGTTCTATTTGACAATAATTGTATATGTTTCACGAGATTATTTGGATTTTAGTTAATTTTTATTTCGTCAATTCAAATTTAATAAGTAAATAATATAAATTAAACTTTAGTAAAATATTAAACTTGAGTAAAATAATAGAAATAAAATGACGTGATAGCCAAAAATGATAACTACTTGTGTCAGGCTACAATAAAATCAAGTTAACACTATGGATATATATGTAATAATTGTTATTATTGTATATAGTAATTACATGTGTCACTTGTTAAATATCACCACATTTCAACTACTACAATGATCGGGTTTTGTGGTGGTCGATAGTCGTCAATGTCCTGAAAGGATAAGGCCCGAGAAAGGAGAAGCTCTATATCCACCATAGATATAATTATATTATTATTATTAGATTATTTATATATAAAGCGCCCTTTATTGTTCTCAAAGGCGCTAACAATGTAAAAGTTGATTAAATGTGCTAATGCAAAAGTTGATTAAATGTTTCACTTCAATCAAATCATATCATGAAAAGTTTGTCTGAAAAGATGGTTCTTTAGCTTTCTTCGAAATTCAGTAATTGACAACCCACGATTTCGCAAGTCAACCGGCAAACTGTTCCAAATCTTCGGTTCCATAACAGCGAAATCTCTTCAACCAACAGCAAGCTGAGTTTGTCGAATTGTTAACAAATCTAAATCGTTTGACCGTAACTTCTGACACTGTAACGGTGCATTTCTTGGAACAATTCGATCCATTAAATATTTCGGCGCTAATCCATTAATGCTTTTATACACCAGTAGGGCAATTTTGAAGACAATTCTTTGTTGAACGGGCAACCAATGAAGATTGAAGAGAATAGGAGTAACATGATCAAAATATGAACCACCAGTTAACAACTTGGCAACCCGATTTTGAATTAATTGTAACTGTGCAACATACTTTTTGGGTAAACCGTAGAATAAACTGTTGCAATAATCGATCCTCGAGTGAATGAACGAGTGAATTAAACATTGCAATGTATGCATATTTAGAGATCCTGTGATGAGTCTCAATTGGTAAGTACATTCTTTCAACAACATCTTCATGTGCAATTGCATTGTCATGTTTGTATCAAAAATAAATCCAAGATTTCGTGCTGACGCACAAAATTCGATGACAGATTCCTTTATTCTGATAGTGTTGATACCCACTCTATTCACTTGTTGCCATGTACCCACAGGCAAAAACTGGGTCTTGCATTGGTTCAACTTTAATCTGTGCCCCATCATCCAAACATCAATGGCTGATAAACACGATACTAAATCATCGACCACATCACCAAACGACGAGGGAGAGGAGTTGGCTATTATTTGGATGTCGTCAGCAAATGCATGAAACCTGAAATTGTACGACTCAATTATTGTGTAGACATCTGCTGTATAAAGCAAAAAGAGAATGGGACCTAAGACGGAACCCTGTGGTACACCGTATGACAAAGCATCGACAGCTGCCAAATTTGTTTTGAATAAAATTTGTTGAGTACGACCAGCAAGGTACGACACGAACCACTTGTGAACGACTCCCGATATGTTTGCTTCAGTTTTTTGAGAAGCAATGCATGATCGACGCAATCGAACGCCAAGCTCATGTCCAAGAGAGCAAGCAATAACACATTTTGTTCGTCTATTGATGAATACAACCTTGACGAAACATCAATTAAAGCCGTTTCCGTCGAGTGAAACACACGATAACCCGACTGGTGAACCGGCAGAAGATTATGAATTTTCAAATGAGAAGCAAATTTTGATAAAACGATTCTTTCAACCAACTTTGACAAAAACATAAGGTTAGATACAGGTCGGTAATTTTTTAACTCATGTCTATCAAGAGAATTCTTCTTCAAAATCGGTGTAACAACAGCATTTTTAAGCGCTGATGGAAATGAGCCAGAACTTAAACACAAATTTATGAAAAACGTTAAAAACGGTAAAAACAAATCAACAAATCTTTTAAGAATTTTTGTGGGCACACAATCAAGAAAACAAGATTTTGATGGAGACTCTAAAATGACTTTTTTTATGTAGTTGTCAGTACAGGGCGAGAAGTTTGAAAAAGATTCTTCATCAAGATCACATGGAGTGAATGCTGGTTCATCACAATGATTGGTTGAATTACGAACATCATCAATTTTGCTTTTGAAAAACTTGAAAATGTCAAGAAAACTATGATCAACTTCTGATACATCCATTACCTGTTCCATTCCAAGCAAACCGTTAACGGCATTCCAAAGACGTTTTGGTTTGTTACTATTTGATTCCACCAAGTCTTTCTAATAACAATTTTTTTTTACAAACAAGCAATATTTATCTTTAATAGCTTGTCGCCAGATATTCTTATTTTTATTACTTGGGTTGTTTCGATAAGCCCGTTCTAATCTGCGACATAGCCTTTTCAAATCCCTGCACTCTCCGTCGAACCAAGGGGCTAATGGCACATGTTTAGAGTTGACATAGTGTAGTGGAGCCACTTCATCAACAACCCTCCTCATCTCACGATCAAACAACACAAATGCATCATCCACGTCATCACTATCAAACGGACCACTGATTGGAGAGTTTAAAATTAGTGATTTAAAACGATGTGTATCCAAACGGTTCCAAGAGCGTACCAACCGCCTTGTTGTCAATGGTAGCCTGACACTGACCGAGAATAAAACATTAATCAGACCATGATCTGAATAAACACCACTGGGATCCACTCTACAATTAGACAAAGAAGTATCAGGAGTGGACGCAACTAAATCAAGTGTGCCACCCAAGTTATGGGTAGGCTCATTAACCACGTTTGTTAACTGAAACGAATCAAATATTTCAAGCAGATTAATTGAGTGTGTATCACCAGGCCTTTCAATATGAATGTTAAAATCCCCAGCCACTATCAAACCATCACCCAATGCAAATAAATGTTCCAACACCGATGTCAGCTCACCAAAAAACAAAGATGTGACCAATTTTGAACCTGGTCTGTAAATACCAAAAACAAAAACTTTGCGACGCTCAAAAGAAAATTCAACTATAATAGCCTCGAAGGTCTGAAAAACCGGAACTTCAATTTTCCTGGCCTTGAACATCTTCTTGAAAAAAACAATAAGACCACCATGGTAAGGATCATGAGGCCTCAACACTTGCAAGAAACTAAAACCTGGCGGCATGGCCAACTGAATAGAAGGATCTTCAGGAGAACCATGCCACTTTTCACACAAAAGGAAAATGTCCAATCCACCAGATAACAATTGATAAACAACATTAAACTTTGCTATAACAGACCTTATATTAAGAAGACCAAAATTTAATACTAAATGATTGCAGTTTTTTGAAGCTTTACTATTTTCCAGCGTCCCACTTGGCCCCTCACTCGGTATAAAAAATGGCCATCATTATAGCTTCTTTAGTTTAAGCATCGGCAATCAATTCTCGCAGCTCAACGCGCTGATCACGTGTTAGATCATGACTGATTTTGATTTTGTTGAATTCACCCTCGAGAGACTTAATTTTCGAAATACTACGCATGACTCTGTTTTTGATGACAAAACTGGCGAATTTAACAATAACTGGACGTGGAGTTTTGGAATCATCAATTTTCCTCCCTTGTCTGGGGACTCTTAAAATATCATCATCCTTGATAGAGTTATCAGTGAGAAAGCGCAAAATAGCAGAAACTGAATCATTGTCCTTTCTATTAGATTCAATTAAGTTGAAAATAATGACGTGGTTTTCTCTCTCTTTGATAGTATTCACCACTTCGAGGGTACGCTGCACAACCTTGACGTCATTTTTAACCGCATCGATACCCTGTTTGACTATACCAATCCAAGATTCATTCATCTGCTGCTTGAAATTGTCAAATGATTTATCGAGCGTATTGTCGACGCTGTTGATCTAGTTCAACCTATCACCATTTGCTACTACCAATTGCTTTAGTTCGCAAAAATCTTTACATAACGCGGTTGTATGTTCAGAAATCTTTTTAATTTCCAATTCTATTTCATCATTTTTATCCAGAATTGGTTTGGTCAATGTTTTCAAACCATCGAAAGACCTGAGGCAACCATCGCAAATGTATCTGAGATTTCTACAGATGTTCATGGCAGGCAGAATGTCTTTAGGTACACTTTCTGCAGGCTGAACATAATCACAAAAACAGCATGTAACGCTATTAACACCATTTTTGATGCCTTTAGTGGTCGAACGTGTATCTTTAGACATAATGCTTCACAGGCAAACAGTGAAAATAATAAACCAAACTATTTATGATCTTTTGCAGCAAAACAAAATATCCAAGCACAACGACACAGTTGTCAAGGTGACTTTATGATTATATATATATATATATATATATATATATATATATATATATATATATCAGTAAATTTTGGTAACAAATTTTCATTTAAGCATATTCCATACTTGATCGAGTATATCGCGATGATACAACTCCATGTTTGGATATTAGAGAAGAGGATCTAAAACGTTTGTTAGAAATATGCACGAAGCAGTCACCGTTTGTATGCCCCGCTGGACACATGTACGTGCAAACCGATGGCGTAGCTATGGGGTCTCCACTGGGAGTCTTGTTCGCAAATTTTTATATGGGAACAATTGAATACAAAATCTTCAAGCGTTATCGTAAACCTCTCGTATATTGTAGATATATCGATGATATATTTGTCTTAACCAAATTTTAGAGAGATATAACACAGCTGAATAAATTGTTTCACTTTAACTCATGTTTAAAATTTACTGTGGAAAAAAGTAATGACAATAAATTGACCTATCTTGATATTTTAATTGATCAGGTAACACCCAACACATTTCGCACATCTGTTTACGTCAAACCAACCAACAACGGGATATGCATGAAAGGAAATAGCGAGTGTCCAGATCGGTATAAGAATAGTGTGATAATATCGTATGTCAGACGGGCATATTCACACAGCTCTGAACCACTTGAATTTCGTAAAGAACTCGATAAAATAAAACAATTCCTTGTCAACAATAATTTTAACAATTCAACAATAGATAAAATAATGACCAATGAAATTAGAAAGATTCAAAATAATAATATTAAGGTAAATGATAACAATGAAAACGTTAAAAACAACTCAAGTTATAATCACAATGTAACCGACAATGATAACCACGTTTCTATCGATCATAACAGCCATAACAACACAAGCAACACTGACAACAACACAAGAAACAACACAAACAATGACGACAATATAAGTGATAATAACACGAACAATAATGATAGACGTATTATCAATGCTCATGATAATGATAACATAAATAACAACGAAAACAATGGTAACCATGTTACTATTGCACAAGTCATTGTCGATAACCTAATCAACAACGACAACCATGTTATTTCCAATAATCTTGTCAGTAATGTAAACAACTCAAACAACGACGTTGTTGCTGATCATGTCGGTGACAATGATGCAAACTCTATTACCAACTCTAACAACAATAACAGCGACAATAACGATGACCATGTGGATCATGACAATGATAACAACACAATCAATGACAACCTCGTTATCGCAAACTCCATTCATAACAATAACAACAAGTCAAACAATAATACCGACAGTGAAATTAACTTTATTTTATCGTAACTTAATGAGCTCTTCGTATAAAGAAGACGAATATATAATTAGAAAAATCATTAAAAAAGGAGTCCATCCAGTTGATTCTAATGAAAAAATAAACCTTCTTATTTATTATAAAAATTTTAAGTCGCAACAACAACTAATAAAAAATAGTCCCAACGTTAAACTAGCAACAACACAGCACTCCCACGTCATCTACCAATTTCTATGTCCTCACGAAGACTGTAGGCTTCGTCCATCTTCTTATATTGGAATGACTACCACAAAACTGACACGCCGTTTAACCTGCCATTTGAACATCGGAGCTCCAAATCAACACTACCATGACTGCCACAACCAGCAATTATCCCGCAAAATATTAGAAGATAATACTAAAATATTAATGAAAGACACTAATTTTAACAGACTACAAATTTTAGAATCCCTATTTATTAATATTTATAAACCTAATTTGAACAAACAAATTTATTCCAATTTTATTTTACCTTCATCACGAAATGTTTAATTTATTATTATTATTATTAACATAATATTGCACATATAATATATTTTATTATGTTATATTACAAAATAATTGTTTATTATACTTAATTTAACTACTTACGTTATTTAACTTTAATCGTTACGTTACTTTCGCGCTCAAATCTTATTACGTCATCTGACAGTTTATTGTTATGTTTTATTTGAATTAATATTAAATTGCCTGAAGATGAATTATAAAATTCGAAACGACGCTTAATAAATAATTATATAATGAATATTGGTGTTCTTATTTTTAATTTAAATTATAATTATTAAAAATTAATAAGAAAAATAGAAAATCTTAATAAAAAATTAAATAACAATAATATAAGCATCGCGTTTAATATATATATATATATATATATATACATATATATATATATATATATCCATGTTTAACGCGCATACGAAGTTATAAAAAAATTAAATCAGACCTTGTTCAAATAAATTATTGCTGTCTTATTTATTATTCAATAGCAAATAAACCAATAGGTAGAAAACGTTAAAAGTATATCTCGTTATATAGTATCATTACTATAATTGGCAATTATATAGTATAATTATATTAATCAATGGTTGAAGATATGAAGAACATAATAAAAGATATTCAGACAATATATCTGTAACATTGTAAGTGGTTCTGCGTATGTCAGAGCTGCAATAATAAAGACTAAAAAAATTATGTAGAAGAATTGGCATGCTTGTTATTATATACGTAGCGATAGCATATTCAACGCGTAAAAACTTATTGTAATATTCTCCTTTCTTGATGCTCATCAAAAAGGCGTTTAGCAACTTTAATTTATTTCCATCCAATTGATGAAAAATTACTCCACATTTCAGTTGGCAAATATTAAATTTCTAAATTTCACAAGGTATACCTTTGTGTGTTAGAATGAATGCCTCTAGTAGTGGCTACAATCGAGAAAAAGTAATTATACTCCTCTTTTCCAGATTTTTAACAAAACTTATCAACTTATGTCTAAGTACAGGAAAATTCCCTAAAATGGCCAAACACGGCATAGTCGTACCTATTCTTAAAAAACAGATCTGGATGTGAGCGATTTAAATAATTATAGACCAATAACCAGATTTTTTTATAATTGACCTTATATATTGAACAAACCTAACCTGAGTTTTAAGTCTTTTTGATCGAAGTCCTTGATTTTTTTGCCGCTCGTCTTTCTTTCTGAATCATTTATCTTTTCATCACCATTTTTTCTGAAATTTAATCTAAATCAATTCTTTCGCTGGTGGAGATCTGACAATTTTTCAGTAATACCTATATTGGCCCTCAAACGCATATGCGCTCATTTTCAGTGCGCTTTAGAGTCTTGATTTTGATTCGCTTTGGTTTTGATTCTACTATGTCTCTTCTCAGATTAATAGTGTTGCTAGAAGCTCTTACTTTCATTTACGTAGAATAAAAAAACTTTTGCCTTTTCTTGATGATCCTTCTCTTCTCCTTCTTCTCCTTCTTGTTACTTCGTTAGTCTTATTTAGAGTAGATTATTGTAACTCGCTCTACTATGGTCTTCCTGACTCTATACTCTATCCTTTAAGTAAAGCTTTTAACTCTGCTGCTCGTCTAGTTGCTCGTGCCCCTTTCTTTTCTCAGATATCTTCATATCTTGTTCTCTTGCACTGACTACCTATAAAATATAGAATAATTTTTAAAATTTGCACGTTTATGTATAAGTTTCAATCTAAATTATTTTCTAAGTATTTATCAGATATATTAATTGAACCTAAACGCCCCGGTTTACGATCGTCTTCTTCTTCTCGCTTTTTCTTAACTCGTGTTAAACACTCTTTTGCTAAATCTGCTTTTGCTTTTTTTGGTCCTTTTCTCTGGAACTCTCTACCTACTTCTCTGACTACTTCTCCATCACTTGCAAAGTTCAGAGCTGATCTCAAGACCCATCTGTTTTCAAAATTCATTGAGGAGCGCTGTTGAACATTGCAGAAATAGCACTTTATAAGCTAATTGATTGATTTGTTTTTCAGTTTTCGTAAAATTTCTAATTAATTTAATTAACAAGTTTAAATATTTTTGCACTTTTACAGTTTACTAATAATTTCATTCATTTTTTAAACATTTCATTTATTTAAGTTATTCATTAATATAATTTTTTCATTCATTTGGAAAATATTTCAGCATACTTAGTGTTTTTTCTGGTGTCATATGAATCGTAACGATCTCTGACCGATCTATTATATATACAATATATATGTATATATATGTACGTAAAATAGAACAAAAAAATCACATAATTGCTACATCTATGGTTTCAGTGCTAAAAGGAGTTGCTAAAAAGTCGTTGCAAGGATTTTCCTCGTTATAATTAGTTTAACTTTGAGGCTGGTTTCGTGCTTGCAGAAATGATTACAAAACTATTATTTGTACTGTTGGCAATAGATTGCTTGAATTGTGAAAAATCAGGTACTGAACCGAATGTAAAAAGTATCTTTGGTTGGTAGTTATTACATTTATAATACAACATATCTTAATGATTTGATTTTGATTGATAATTTAATAATTAAAAAATGACTATCATTGTTATATCAATTTGTTTGATATTATTACCAATCTTAAACCGATTACTGATGGCCTGGTTGCCTGGTTCGAGTATGAATACTCATACTGTCTGTCCAAAAATCAGACAATTTTAAATTAAACATATATGTGTGTGCTGTACATAATACATATGAAATTATCCTTTGTGTTGCAAAACTTAAATTGGATATATAGTTTAATATTATGATTATAAATAAATCATGAAAGATTATAAAAATTATACATATATATAATTATAATATAAATATAGAAGATGGAGTATCAAAAGAATATATATTATATATTGAATAGAATCAATAGACTGATAGTCTGAAAATTGTTAATATTTAATCTAGAATAATGATAATTTATAATAGGCTCTACACATCACATGATTCAGTTTGTGCTATGGTTTGCCTACACAAGCAAATAGTGTCTGTGTGGATTTCCTTACCTGAACTCATTTTATTAGATATGTTGCAAACGTTTAATTTAATTTTTCTTATGCACAAGGTTATATCCGAGATGCACAAATCTACATCAGCTGTAAATCATAGACTCCTAAATAATAGATACTAGACGGGAAACTGAAATTTACACATGCCCAAACTGAGGCCATGCATTCTATACTACACACATAAAGTAAACAACGAAACGTCTTTAATTCTGCAACTCTTAAATATTTTAATACTTTGAACAAACGATTAACATGTTAAAACGATAAATATTTTAAACATTTATTAAAAAAATAAAAACATTATTTATTGCAAAAAAATATATAATTATGAAAATAAATTCAAATGTTCTGTAATTTACAAAGTTTTCTTTTTTTTTTATAATAAATAGTCTTTTTTTCATTTGCATTTTCTGTAATTGATATAATTAAATTATTTGCAACAATGCTGAAAAATACATTTGAAATTAATTGTTTGAAACGTCTTTAATTCTGCAACTCTTAAATATTTTAATACTTTGAACAAACGATTAACATGTTAAAACGATAAATATTTTAAACATTTATTAAAAAAATAAAAACATTATTTATTGCAAAAAAATATATAATTATGAAAATAAATTCAAATGTTCTGTAATTTACAAAGTTTTCTTTTTTTTTATAATAAATAGTCTTTTTTTCATTTGCATTTTCTGTAATTGATATAATTAAATTATTTGCAACAATGCTGAAAAATACATTTGAAATTAATTGTTTGAGATCATGCCCTGTGGTGCAAAATTCTGGAAATTCATTCTCCAAGTCATTATTGTCATTATATCTATTTACGATATCACCAAATAATTGTTGCTGGTTTAAAACAGAGAAATTTGTGTAGTAAAATATAATTGTTTTTTAATTCTTCAAATGCTTTCCAACATATCAAAGAAAAATGAAAATTACATGATGATGGTCTTTTTGTCCCCAAGATTTATTAGATCAAAATATGTTGTTCTGGAATCATCATCCAATTCGATTTCAAAATATGAATTTATTGCCAAATTTTCCAGACAATGTGCACATTTATTTTTATGAAAAATAGATCTAGCAATATATCCTGCAACAACATAAATAGAATCAAGCGTTGTTTTTTCAGGCTCGTAAAGATATTTGAATTGGTCAACAATATCATCTGCCATTTTTGAATAGTCTGAATTTTTTGATGAAGAAAAAGCCAGTTTGATATCATTAAAATCAAAATCACTATTTTTAAATAATGAAATTCCACACTTCTACAAACTAATGAAACTCAGGTGTCACTAATATTGAACAACTAATAGATAAATGATGATCTTCAACAACCTTTACTTTTAGTAATACCATGTTTCCTCGAATATTTTTTCCCAAAAATTGCCCTAGGTCTTATATTCGAGGGAGGGCTTATATTATTATGCCAATTTTTTTCGACATCATTTATTTTTCCCAAATACAATAATATTTTATTCAAATACAATAAGATCATCATCTTCTGGGATATCATCATTTTCTTCCAGATCAAGACCTTGAATTCCAGCCAAGATTTCATTTGACTCCAGCTCCTTCTGTATCATAGGTCCAAATCTATCGTGTTTTGCGATGTAGCTTGCTTCAAATGGCGATGTTTTGTCCAAGTACCCTGCTTTCAGAGCCTTTGCAACACAGCTATCAATGACTTTGCCCCATGCATTCCTTACCCAAGAGACTACCTCCTGCAGATTAGGCTTCACGAAGTTGTTATTTTTGTTCCTTGACATCCTATTCTCAATATAATCATTGATTTCAAGTCTGAGGTAATCCTTGAAAGGCTTGTTTATTGCAATGTCCAAGGTCTGGAGGTAAGCAGTCATCCCTGCTGGGATCATAACCTGATCAACCCTTCTTTTTGCCAAGAAGTTTTTCATATCCTTTGCACGATGAGTGCTTGCAGAGTCCCAAATGAGGAGACCTCGTTGACTTCCTCTTAAAACAAGTGGCAGCATAAGGTCCACCCATTTTCTTATTACATTCTGCGTACTCCATGCCTTTTCTGATTTCAAGACATAAACTCCTCCCTGGCATTCAATCTTTTCTTTCTTTCCTTTGGTAATAAGAAGTGGAGCAGCTTTCTTCCCATCCAGACGAATTGCCAAAATGCAGGTGACGCGTGCACTTTCATATCCAGTTGATGGTACATAAATTGATGAAGCTCCTCTGAAGTCGACTGTCTTTTGAGTGTCCTGACCCATGTAAACAGCAGTCTCATCCATAGCAATCATGTTGGAGAGCTGATACTTTGAAAAATCCAAACCATCCATGAAAGACTTGAACATGAGAGCTCTCTTGACAGCTTCTTTATCCTCAAGCTTGAACAGTGTTGTTGATCTTCGTAGTGAGAGTTCATACCGCTGAAGGAAGCGATCCAGCCAACATTTTGAAGCTTTGAACTCCTCAGGAGGGATGTCAAGTGTAGGAGCCATCTCGAGAGCAAAAGCTTGAATCTCAGCTCTGCGCACAACCATACGGTTTTCTCTCTTCTCAGCAATCCAGTCAAAGATGATGTCTTCTAACTCTGGAAAGAATGGACGATTTCCAGAGCCACATTTTCTTTTTTTTGCCTGCCCATCTTCAACCTTTTGATTGAGATCATCATACTGTGCTCGCCATTTCCTAACCATTCGTACGTCCAACTTCTTCTCTTTGCAAAATGCAGTAATATTTTGATCTCTGCATTCTTCCACAATTCCTTTTTTGTATTCGACAGAGTAACTTTTCCTCTTGCCACTCATCTTAAATATGGGCAAAATGTACAAAATAGTTTATTTAAATAGAAAAAACAACCCTTACTTTGACAGCTTTGTAACCTCAGGATATGCTTGAAGGAGGAAAAACAGTTCGAAAAACGAAAGATCCTCGAAAAACGAAAAATCTTGCAGCAGTTGACGTTTCCGGTGTGGTTTTGACAGAATTTTTTGTTGTTGTCAGCTGATTCATACTAGAAATTATAATCGAGGGAGGGCTTATATTCGAGGGAGGGCTTATATTAGAAAAATAGACAAAAAACGTGCTAGGTCTTATATTTGAGGGATGTCTTATAAATGAGGAAACACGGTACCATGTTGTTGTCTATGAATTTAATTATAAATTCAGTAGAAAAAGTTATTTCTTTCTCTAATTTCATTTTAATATCTTCAAGATTCAGACCTACGATTGAATCTTCTTCCATAAAATTTCTTTCCAACTCTCCGAGTCTTTCCATTTCTTTATTATTCCTACTGCTTTGAAGCGCATTATCTGATCTTGATGTAATTTTTTCACACAACATATGTTTTGAATGATTAGAAAAAATAGTTGGAACCGAATCGGGTTTAAGTCTTATCTAAAACGTATCCTTGTTGTTTCGGCGTTGACGAGCGATTTTGCTGTCCTGAGATGATGTGATGAAATCATCTGGAGTGAAATGCTTCGAACAAATCCTGGTATGTTGCGAAGGATGAAAATCTTTTCTCGCGATATTTTTCAACCACTTTCTTGCTAATTCTTCGTCATCAATTGAAAATTTATGAAACGTGATTTTCTGTTTTTCCCGTAATCTCAGACTCCAAACGATTTTCTGACGTATACCCAGATTTACAGCCATAAACACAACATTTATTAACCATTTTGAATTTAATTATTAAAAATGAAATATTTTTAATAATTTTAATATTTTTAAACAAATCAGCGAAATAAATAGCAAAATCAACAACACAATACAAGCGATGATAAACGAAATCAAAACGTTCCAAGGTAAACAAAAGCAACTTATATAGCGAGTAGCATTTATTTATCAAACAAGCATGGCCTCAGTTTGGGTCGAGCACACACAAAATCACATTTGGTTTCTTGACCAGTAGGATATTATTTAGGAGACCATGTATAAGTACTGCCACATTTAGTTTAATGAAATATTACATACAAGGAGACAATTCAACAAAACCAAAACAGTTTGAACAGTGAACTTTTTATTACTAAAAAGCAAAACAATAAAAAAAATAACTGTGCAAAGTTACGCTGTTGTTCGTTTTATTGATGGTTTCCGTTCATGAATTTGTCAATGTAGTCTTATGCGAATTGTGCAGTATCTAAAGTCTTTCCCTTTGTGAGTTCCATTATCAAAAAATTGTAATAACATTTAAAATTATTGAATGAGTATTAGTAGTGACCTTGAGCGAGCTATGTACAAACATGTAATGTGCTCTGAGAATTATAAGTGAGTGATACACTTACCAAAGATTTAATTTATTTATGTAGACAAACATTTACTGGGGCTTTAGCATTTCTTCAGCGGCAGAACTTACCGCAGATGGAGATTTATCCATTTCTATCTGCGGTAATCCATCCATGGTACGTATCGCTGCATAAATTGCAAAAATTACTACATTCACAGTGAATACTGCAGCCAATCTTTTACATCATCTGCGGTAAATACCACTGCATGTATTGCATGAAAATTTGTTTAATAAGTACCACAACAAATTTTTGTTACTGAAACATGGAAATTTATTAGGTTTGCCATGAAATACTGTGACATGTTGTTTTTTCTTAGTTGATGGCAATTACTGCTGCATACAGTATAAATGACTAGGTCCACGATAAATGCCTTGGCTTCTCTGGCAAAACATCCAATATGCATAGTCCTAGTTTAAGCCAGAGAAGAAAGGGAAAAATTGAATTTCTTTATACAGCATTTACAAATTAGAAAGTATATATTGTTTAGTAAAGGTTTCCAAAGTTATATTCATTAATATAATATTAAAGTGAGCTATGTACATGCGCTCCTAAAATTTAAATGAGCGACATCTACCTAGGGGTGCAACACGTTGATTTGTTTAATGGACCAAAATTTTGTCGTCGATGTTTGTATGTATATATATATATAAATGGTAGCCAGATATTTGTACAAGAAAAGCGTTAGAATTTTTTTAAAATAATTTTTACTGTATTGTTTGTTTATTCCACTTTTTTCCAATTTCCGTGTCAAAACTTGTATCATTAAATTAATTTTATTTTTGGTTTTTTTCATTTTCTGATAAATATGTTTATTTACTTTTAAAAGATAATTATTTTATGCTGTATCCATTAACAAATGAAAAACTGGGTTGGGATTTTTTGAAAAATTCAAGTTTTGTGCCAGGTTATATTAATTTTTATATGTCAATATTTTCACTTGAATTGAATATTAGTTGTGAAATAGTTATAACAAAAATTTTTAAAGATTTGCAAAGTTTATTTCTTAATTCTGTAATAAGAAGATCCAGTTTACTAAATTGATTGAAAATTTATTTGAAAATGAATGTCAATAAGCATTCGTATTAGATTTCATTAACCTTGAATATCAATTCTGTATTAGATCAAAATAAAAACATGAGCATTAGATTGGTAAAGAAAAACACATGTAACATACAGCTGCTAGACTGTTAAAATCATTAAAATTGCTGATGCTTTCAATTCAATGTCAGTGCTGTAGAGATACTAAAGCCAAGTTCAGACAATTTGCATGACAGAACTTCTTCTCAGATATCATCTTGGACACTAACACTGAAGTTATAAAACAGTTTGCACCGAGTTCTGTGCATATTTGAAGGCCCACCACTTCTTAACACTTGGTAGCATTTATTTCCAGTGTTAAAGACGATTGCTTATCATTAAACGCATTTACATGTATAGTTAAAAAAACACCGGTTAAAAAATTATTTATAGAATAAAAAATTAAAAAGCTCATTTATACCATATAGTAGAATAGAACATTGTTTAAATTAAAATATGAAATAATTGTACAACAAAAACACGGGTTACATGGCTAACAAAAAGAGATTTTCTGTCAAAATTTCTCAGTTATCGTTTTGTCAACATTAAAGTTTACCACTCAGTGTTGCTGTCGCCAAATATAATGTAATGTGTTGTGTAGCAGTCACATAACATTAAACGCTCAAAAACTGGGTATTGCAAGATGTTATTTTATTATCTAAATATTATATAATACAGGTACGCAGTAGCTTATTTCACTTGAAACTTTTGTTCACGCCTGTGGTTTTGTGCAATATATACAAATATGATCATAATATGTTTCAAATAATTACGTTAATAAAAATGTTGATAATTGAATAATATAAACTCAGTCAGGTCAAGTTGTGATGTGTTCGTTGAAGAATTCAGTTTGTCTGTGGCCAACTTCACCAGCTGCATAGTAACTCATTCCAGACCTTTTAGCGTGTGTATGCAATGCTACGAGCAATATAAAAGCTGCCAATCAATTTATGATGTTTTGTTAAAGGTATTTAACTTTAATTACTATTCATTGTATGTATGACGACTTCATTGCCACCACTTAACGATTATAATTGGTGGATGACCTAGCTTTGCTTGAGCGTCAGTCAGATTTTATAGAATTGAAATTTATCATACAATCAAATTTTATAGACTAGAAATTTATTATACATTCAAAATTGCAAATTTCGTAAACATTTAATCTTCATTATTTTAAAAAATGAAGAAAGTCTTTGAAAATATAGTGTGAACAGTGAATGAGACAGGCTGTTGCTAATGCTTGCCTAGCATTAAGCCCATCTGAATTATTTAACGCTTGATATAATGCTAATAACGGCGCACTCCCAAATACACATTCATAGATTTAATGATCTTTAGTTTTCTCCTAACATGCATAAAATAATTTTCGAAATATAGACAACAGATGCTGAAAGAGGCCGTCCGTGTGCCGACAAAATAGTGTCTAATGATTATGTAAAAATGATATTAAAAGTTCATGACTTTGTTGAAGATGCTTGGACAAGTAATTATTGCTCAGGTTGCTTTCATTATAGTTTTGAATTGTTTTCAGTAGACATCTTAATTTAACTTACTCTAATAATTTTTTGGATTGTTGAAGGGTGCTATGCAGGAAATGATTCCACAGATCTTGCAAACTCGACAATAGAGTTTCTTCGAAGATTAACGTTATTCAATGGATGTATATTTAATGAACTGGTTAGTTTTCATCTTTTAAATATGATCTATCTATTCTTAATAATGAATACTTATTTCATATTCATTTTGAATTTATGTTTTAATATGGATACAAAAAAATAAATTTAACACTTTTGTGAAATTATACGAAATGGAAACTGTTGAATAAAAAATTGAGTTTTAGTAGATGTTCTTAGTGTAAGATGACGATCGAACATCTACATGATTGAGGTTAGGAAACGTTATCGCATGGTAATGGTCCGAAGAAATTGCATGATAACAGCTATTCTATGAAATCTATTTTGAGTTGAGGAGGTTCTCTTTAAAGTAATGTTTGGATAATGCGACTAAAATGTTGGGAGTAACTTTTCGTAAATTCAGTATATGGGTAGAACAGGTAGCGGATCTAGACAATTTTGACGGGGGCCAATATTTGTGAGTGTGGCTGACGCCCTTTTTTGCTTGTCATGTCCATTTTAGATCGATTTTCCTCATAAAACGCTACTTTTTCCGTCAAAACAATGACTTCCACTGCTCACAATAGAAGGCACATGGCCCCCGATCCCCCTAGATTCACCACTGGGTTGAAAAAAAATGTGTGCTGTGTAGCTGTTATAAAAACGTAAAAACGCTCTCTGTTTTAAATTAATTACAAGTTCCAGAACAAAATTTCAATTGTAAATTAAGGAACTATCATTTTCTTATTCAACACTGAATTACTAATGTCACAAATTATCGATATCTTAAAAGTATTTACTGCATTAATTTATAGATCTTTAATGCATAAATATATTTTTTTCTCCAAAGTTAATAGGAAAAAAAGCAATAGTATTTCCGCTTAACATGTAACACTGCCATTCAGGTTTGCGCATACTAAAAGTCTTATAACTTTTAAAAAATTAGATTGGTCGTATAGCACGAATGATTACATATTGATATACATAGGTGATTGCGTGTAATTACGCACTATATCTTTTAAGAGCTGAATATATTTTAAAAAATTTCAATTTTTCAACTTTTTCTGGAGTTGGATAAAAAAAATTATCCAAGACCGATTCCGGTTCCACAAAAAATTCCGACTTCTGCAAAATCCTACAACATCCTGCAAAAAAGTGAGATTCAGAGTCGATAATTTTTTTTATTCGAACTCCGAATGGGATATCTTTAGTTTGAAAATGATTTCCACAAGATTCCTTACATAAAACACTGAAAAACAGGCTGATAACATGCCGTACATCATTCCGGGTATATTACCAGTGAACAAAACAGTTTGCAAAGTCTGCTCTGCTTCATATAAAAATCTTAGCGATTATTATTCAACACTCGACCCAGATTTTAATGGGCACTTCTGTATGGATCTATCCGATTCAGTTAGTGTTATTATTTGTTATAATTTATGTTTCTTTTACTTGTTTTATTATCTTTTTATTAATCAAACATTTTTGTTAATCGCTGGATAGAGAAACGTGAATAAGTTTTGGAGCATTTTATGAAAATTAATCTTGGGAATTCCCAATGTCAATGTTCTCGTTTAAAGTGTGTATTTGTGTAGTGTGTGCTGTGCACTTGTGTAGTGCGATGTGTCAAAATCTATTTTGCCATCAATTTTGAAAGTTAATAATACGAGTGAGAAAGTTATCACAGTAATGTTAAAAAAAGTCCAAAGTCATTAAAGCAGTTAAAATTAGTTTGGTTTATTTTTGAACAGCTTGCGACGGTTTTTTGGAAACCATGAGGCGTTAGACCAAATGTTATTCTATTTTTTTTCTAAACTTTCAATATTGTTGATTACAAGATGAATTTCACCTGGAATTTATGGCACGAGAACTTTAAATGTCCCGCTCGAGTGCGGTTGACGGATGTTTGCATAAGCACCTCTATTGCCCTTCTAGTCATTCCAATACTATTCTACTTGTTGGCCAGGATATGTCGAAACAGTATTACAAAGATATTTTTAAGAGGTTTGTTGAATATTTTTCGTCGTAATATTCGCGATATTTATAAATTACAATTTTTTTCTCAAAGAAAAACGATTACAGAATGATTTCTCACAATGATGTGCCTTCATCTAGCTTCAAAATGTGTTTCACGATACTGCATTAACATTTTTATAATTTACTCGCTTTTTTTGTTTATTATGTAATTAGATTATTTGTTGAAAGTTTTATGTAATCTTATTTTTCTATTTTCATGTTATGATTTTACAGAACGTTGATTCTAATTAGCGTCAAACAGTTGCTGTATAATTTTTACGATTCTTCATTTGATTGTTGTTCGTGTGAGTTACGGAATACATCATTGATATATCATTGATACACCGCCGTTCACAAACCACACTGAACGGATGTAGACTAGCGGTTAATAGCACATACTAAACCGTACCAAAAATTTAATCCCTGATGTCGGTCTGTAAAGTCAATGACGCCCATTAGAAATTTTCTTCGCTTATATATTCGGGAAAGTCTATTCTAACATGCGCATTAAGGTAGTGGAATATTTATGTTTACATAAACGACTTTGATATTGAGCAGGGTAAAGCTGTAAATGAAGTATTGCTAAAAATTTAATTGTTTTTTATCTAAGTTAATGAAACGTTTAATGAATGTTTTAAAGGCGTTACGAGTTACGCCAGGTCAGCCTGTTGTGAAACATAAGTGGGAATGTATACTCAATCGGGTTACAGACATCACATAAATTGATTTTGCACCGAACCCAAAATACCAGACTGACTATTGTACCGAACCAACCCAAACTTAATTGGACTGAACATGCGCCCAATAAAAACCGAACCCTAGTTATGTGGGCTTAACCATTTTTGCTCCCTTCTTTGATAGCTGTTGTGCCCTGCATTGGAATGTTGCTGATCGGATAAGAAGCAAATTATTAATTGTTATACGCCTGTATGCTTCGTGCTTGCTCTACCTTCCGTTTGGTTTATTCTAGTACGACAAGACCTAAAAAGTTTTATCTCTCCCTTCTTTTTAATCAGCTGCAAACCGCGCATGTGCTAAAATACAAATAAAATACAAATGCTTAGGTCTATTATTATTTGAGGAATTAGTAGTGAACAATTTAACCGATGAAAGCATTCAAATATTTTAAAACAAAATTAAGACGAACGGAAAAAAGATAACTGAAAAGAACTAAGATTCATTAATTAACTTTTAGCATTCCCACAGAGTAAAATTGTTTCAAAAGTTTATTCCATGCAATTAACAAAACATTCTCTATTATTAATACATAAAAAAATGCGTAAAAGAGTATAAAACTTTAATACATCTTTAAACCGCCAGCTGACCACTCCAGTTGCTAAAAAATATATATGTATTCATTGAATGTTTGACATTTTATCAGCAAGAAATTGTAATTAATAAAAAACCTTTTGAGGCTCCACAAACGCAAGCCAGTCAGAGGCATGCAACGGTAGCAACCCCATCACGTGGCACTTGTAAACAGCCAGGCCCACACTGACGATATTCCCGAAAATGTAAACAATTTTCTGCAAAGCCGAACTTTTGCCCTCTATCATTTTAAACGCTGGTAAAAAGTGTTTTTTTGATTCATAATAAAAAAAACGTTAACATTTGAAATTAAAAGTAAAAACAAGGGCAAACGCTAAATCAAATTAAAACGATCAATTAAATAGTGAAATAATTGGAGTTAAAAATAGCATAATCATCATTCAATGAATTGACATTAAATGAGCAAGATTAATATGTTTAATTGAATTCAAGATTGTGACTGTGTTTCAGAAATGTTATCTCTCACTTTGCTGAAATGCGAGAAGAGCTTGAACTGGTCTAATGAACATCATGCCAACCATCATAATTGGAAAAATAGATATTGAATTACCAGCCATCCACATTATGAACAAATTCATTGGAACTTGCTTTAAAGGACCTAAAGCTATATCCCAAGATTTCTGTAATTAACAATTAGGCAACAAATTTAAAACTAAAACGGCAAGATTTTTCATAATTGTTCGGAAGGTGCGTTATATTAGGAACATTTCACTAATGTTATCACCAAAATTCCACATTTTTACTGAAAAAGGTATAAATATCACATCGTCATTCATAAAATAAAAACTTGTAAAAAAAAGAAATCAAAGTTAGAATAAGTCCTAAAAAACAATAAATCTTTTAAATCACTACCATAAAATATTGCCATCTTCAAAACAATATTAAGATATTGGCAACTGCCACACATTTTCAAAACAATTTTAAAAAGAAAACAATTGAACTCTACATTAATTAAAAAGTTAAGATTATGAATAATATAGCATTTTAACGACACGACACCAAAGATATTGAATAAACTCGCAAAATGTGTCCCTATTAAAATTAGATTACAAAATAGAAATCGTAATCAAATCCTTCTTACAAAGTTTGGGCTCGGTTAGATCAGATCTACAGTTTGGGTTCGGTTCAACAGGTCTGACTATGAGCAAAGTTCGAGTTTATTTGGCTCGATACTGATTAAAGTTCGAGCTCGGTTGGATTGTGAGGCAGAGTTCGGATTCGGTTCGACTTTATGAAATTAAGCAATAACAATAAGATCGGGATATTTAAAATTCAGTATCAATGTATTAGTATTGGGCATGTGAAAAATATCAATCTCAGTACTCAGTCTACAAAAATTACCAAAGGATCGGAGATTTCCGATACTGCATATATATATATAGATATTGTCGCCTGCAAACCAGAATTTTTCAGCGTGGGATACCAAAACTATTAACATGTTTACCAAATACTGGCATCTGGATGCCAAAAAACTAAATGCAAATCGAATTTTCTTCCAATAGGAACCTGACAGAAACTGTCAAAGATAGATATGGATTCTATAAATATATTTGAACTTGGAACTGTAGACTGTCAATGAAAGATCATATTGAAAATGCTTTCATCAACCTGTACATATCAGCCACAAAAAATATCATGTGCGTAAATAGATAGATAAATCAAATATACAAACCCTATACATTCACGTCTGGATTATTAGAACAGTTTGATTTATGGTCTGTCTCTCAAGTAAATCCAAAGAAATTATTCAATTTATTTAGAATAGGACGGCAAAAATTGTTGAGAGTCCAAAGTTCAATCATGTAACGCAGATTTTAAGAGATCTTCATTGGTTGAACGTCGAAAAAAAAGTTTAAAATATGCGTTTCCAGGATTAAAGTGGCGAATAGACGTTAGCCTCAATATTTGATAGGAAAGCTTAAAAAGAGATCGAATGTTTCAGCAGGCGTTCATTTGAGGTGTATGAAAAGAATCTGATTGCTGTCAACACCACTCAGCTGTGTAACGGTTCAAGGAATTTTGCTGTTTTCAGCCCAAGTTTGTGAAACGGTTTGCCAGAATCATTGAGAACAGTAGAATTGAGCACTGGCTCCTTTTAACAGATTTTGAAAACATTCGTTTTTGACATTTTATTTTGCATTGCGATAATTTTTCGGTATTCTTTTTTTCCATATTATGTTTTTTAACAATTCATGTAATGGCATTTTTCTTCTAATTTTAATAATTCATAACATTTTTTCTCAATTAATTATTATTATTTATTAATTATTTTTAATCAATTAATTAGATTATTTATTTATTTAATAGTAGCATGCGACTATTTCAATGAAACTCACAAGCAAACATAAAAATGCACAAGACAAAATAAACACATTACTTTTTCTATTAAATCTGGTTTGTTTTCTCTCGGACTGTGGTCACTGGCTGTGTTGTTACTGTAGCCTGGTGGGTCAGGGAGTGTTATTGTGGATAATTGTCTACCTCCATCTTGTTTGCACCTTAATATAAATACCAAAAAAATATTTAATAGAAAAATACAAAATATAAGCTATTATAAAACAGGTTAAATTGATGTTATAAGTCATGAAATAAGCCTTTTACATTGTACTTTTGATTAACATTTAGACATTTTGACAAGTGTATTATATTTTAAAAATTGCCAGATTAACTTGATTTTTTGTTTTTAAAAATGAAATGAAATAATGCATGTTTGTTGTAGATTACATAGTAAAAGAGACAAATTTGTAATTTTGTGAATTTTCAAATAAATGAGAAAAACACTTGCTAAATAGCCCAATAACTTTGTCTCAACTATTTGTCACTTAAGTTACAGTTCCCATAAAAATCAGGAAGCATATAAAATCGTTTTCTGAAGATGTCTGCTTGACAGAACCGTATAAAGTCGACAATATGGACATTTGTCAGCTGGTTTCAACATTTCATCTCAGTATTATTTCAAAAAAGCAGTCCAGTTTTCGTTACATTGAAACTCAACTTTAAGAACATTTGCTTAAAAATTGAAAACATGTCTTGTGACCTTGGAAAAGAAAGAAAGCATTGAAAATGTTTTAAAAGTTCTTTATATACTTCAACAACTTTTCACTTAATGCCTGTAAAAGTTCGATCAGATTTTCATCAAGCAGATTCAACTAAAGACAACGGTTCTGGAAGTAGTTTCAGATGTTTGCAAAGCTGTCAATGAAAAAAACAATTCATTGCTAGCACTTCTTGATGAAAGTGCTGTTATTAATATAGAGGCTTCCAGACAGTTTCAGTACTGTTCTCAACAGACAGGACTCAAGTTGCTAGTGTTGGGTGTTAGATGCATGTACTTTAATGTGGTGAAGTCAGAGATCTGTCCTAGATAAAAGGTTTGTAGTAGCCTTCAAAATCTAACGTCAAACAACAATCATGGCAAAAATTTTTGACAGTTTATCTAAAATCTGGTTTTGGCCCCAAGCCCAATATGAATTACAAATTACAAAAGCAGCAGTGAAGTTAGCAATGGTCAGCAAAGAACACATTCAGCAAGGATGACTAAGAAGAAGTATAAAAAATTTGATTAGATGTGAGTTGATTTAAGCTGTATTAAATGTTTTACAAATCAAAAAGCTATGGAAATTGGTGATCATTTAATTTTCATTTATAAGATCTTTTAGTGCACCACTATAAATTTACTCTTTAGGTTTAAAAACATTATCTACCAATACATATCGTTAATAATTTTAAAAGTAACTGAATGCTTAATTAAAAATCAACAAGCTAATTATGTTAATAAAATTTATTTAGCCTTTATTTTGTTTAAGGCATTGAAACTATGATAAACACTTAAAGATCCAATAATATGAAAAGTGCAAAAAATTACTACAAATGTATAAATATAAATAAATAAAATATGAAAGAAATAATGAAATTTGTTGTCAAATGTTTACATGGCGATACTCCCATTCAACATCTTCCATCATCTTTGAATACCAATTTCTTTATACTATATAGTTTATATGATAAAAATCAGTTGCTTCATTAACTGACAATATGTAAAGTTTTTTATATTACTACATCATTTTAAATCTAATTAAATGGTTATTCATATAAATCGAATGCAAGCAATACAGTGATGCCCTCTATAAGTTTAACTGTTAATTAATTTGAAATAATTTAATGGCTAATGCTGATGTTGATAATGTGTTTCATTATTTGTTGAAAACATTAAAAAAATTTAACATAATTATTTAATTTAATTAATGACCTTAATTAACTAAATTTAACTGTCATCAATGATCAATTAATTTATACTTTTAATTATTAATTTTCCAATGTAACACCTGACCTATGATATGATTGATTGCATTGCAACTTGACTTAATTTTATTTTTTTCACAAAAACAAACACTGCTTCTATTGTATTTTATTTTTCAAATAATTAATAAAACACTAATGCTAATAAAATAAATTAATAAATAAAACATTTTAGATCTTATCATGCATCTTATAAAATTAAATTAAACAATTTGATTTTCTTCATTAGATAAAGGATGATAACATTTATTATCTTTATCACATTTTGGTAAAAATAAAAATAGTTCATTAGTTACATTTTTTAGTGATTCTAAATATGAATACTGCTGCTAACTTCAGTGTAATTCAAAAACACTGTTAATAAAACACTAATGCTAATAAAATAAATTAATAAATAAAACATTTTAGATCTTATCATGCATCTTATAAAATTAAATTAAACAATTTGATTTTCTTCATTAGATAAAGGATGATAACATTTATTATCTTTATCACATTTTGGTAAAAATAAAAATAGTTCATTAGTTACATTTTTTAGTGATTCTAAATTTGAATACTGCTGCTAACTTCAGTGTAATTCAAAAACACTGTTAAATAAATTGTAATCAAAATATTAAACGAAAATAGCATAATATTATTATAAAATAAATTAAATCGCAAAATCATAACCTAACTAGTGCTAATCTGTTCTGTAACTAATCACCATTAAAAAAATAACGTATTATAATATAATGTCAGTTTCTTAATGTCACAGATATGTAATATAATATATATTAAATATATAATAATTAAATTATTTATAGTTATACAATATTAATTAATTACACAACGATAACATGATAAAATAATAATTATCAATAAATAAAAACATGATTAAAAATTAAATGATTAAATATATTTAGAAAATACTTTGATGTGAAGTCTAAAGCCCATTTGTGCCTTTTTGGACACTGTTTTAAATTCATTTCAAACTCTGCTCGTTCAACTCAACTCTTCTATTTTCAATGTCTTACGCGACGAAATTAGAGTACCTAAAAACAAATTAAACGGCTGAAGCACGTAACGATGTATGATCCTCGAATAGAATGATGGCAAACCAAAATAACTCGAACGTTGCACTTGGCAAACACTCAATTAAAACCATAATATATGTAGTGAATATATTATGTTATATTCTATATATGATTAAGACAAAATTATGCTGTCGTTGTGCGATTTTCTGGCGTTTTAGCTCAAGACCAATGATATACATAATATGGGTATGGCAGACAAGTTATATATATATATATATTGTTCATATATATTTAACATCATGGTCAATCTAACAAATATTTGTTGAAAAGTGAATTTAAATTGAAGTAAACAATCAGATTTTAGCCGGTTGTTTAGCGATAACCGTTCTAGTTGCTTTTTTGTCAATTTATTGACATTTAATTAAAAAATTTGTCGATAGTAAGACGTTTGATCGTAAATAATCAATAAAATGTCAATTACTACGAAAAAATGTTTAATGTTTACGCGCTTAATTCCATAGAATTAAGCAAAATTATTAGGCAGGCAACAATCATGCCATATCCATTATATCCATGCTCAAGACGGGTAACTTAGCGCCCACTTTCTTTGATTGATTTGGTTGTCTCCGCTGTTGTATATTTGGTTTGAGATAAAATGAAATTAAATAAATTAATTAAACAAAAATTATTTTATCCTACACTTATTTTATTTAATATATGTTAATATATGTATATAAAAAGAGCATAAATGGAAACAGTTTGGCAGAATTTATACAATACTGTAAAAAATAGGTCTCCTTCCAACACACACATACACAAACACACACAGATATATATTGGATTAAACTGGATATATTGGATGGCTGGATTTCTTTTCAAATTTTTTGATATTTATAGCTGTTTTAAAAATTTTTGTTAAAATTAATAAGTTTCATGTTATAACCACTATTAAAGCTTATTTTTTTAAATAAATTTAGATATAAGTAATGATTTTGTTGTTTCAGTTTTGGTATTTTCAATGCAAACTGTTATTTGAAACTGTCATATAAACAAAAAAAAAAGTTAATTTCTGTTAAAACTTAAAAAATGAAAACTTTCTTATCTTAGTATTTTCATTCTGAAAGCTGGAAAGAACGATTTATCATTATGCAAATCAGACATTGTATGGACATTTGCAAAACCATTTAATAAAGACGTCAGCATTAAAATTTGTGACAAAGTGAGGCCACGGGCCCTAGACAACTGCTTAGAGGTGATTAGTGGTTAATACGGCCCGGCGCCCTACTACAACATAGTAAAAAAGTTCGTCTTGATGGTTACAAGTGGCAACTCAGGATGTTTGTCTTTTTTTCAAATAATCCACTACAATTTTAAATATAGTAGCACAGCACTAAACTACTATATTTGTTATTGTAATAGCACAGCCCTATATATCTTAATAACCGAAAAAAACTAGAGATTTCGCTTGTCTGTGTTTAAAATATAGACATCAGCCAGACAGGTTTTTTAAAATTCAGTTAAGATCGGAAGTTCTAATTTTATCGTTAACCTTAAACCATTCCACACGAATCATGAATTCACTTTAATAATCATGATTCGAGAGAATCAGATTTGTTACAAGTTCATCCAAAATATACGTTGTAGAAAACTGTACCTTTAATGAAAAAATGCTATAAATCACATGAAAAATATCTTGCAACTTGGCCAAATCCTAAACAAAGTGTGTCTTCGTAAATAAAAAATTAAAAAAACAAATAAATTTTCTAAAAGGCAAAAATCATGAATACAGTTTATTTATTGTGATTGATGATGATTAAACTTTGAAAATAACACAAATTTATACACCAAATATACGCGTAATGCTAAATGTTTAAACAATTCCAGAAAATTTGAAAACAGTTTAAATATTAAATAAAAGTTCTTTTTGTGATTTAAGGCACATAAAAAAAAGTTTAAGACAAAATTTCAAATAACTCCATTTTCTAATAATGTATTGACATCATCGACAATTTTTTCCATAATTTCTTTTTGAGGTCCGTCTTTCTTGAAACATGAATCTAAAAAGACTTCTGATGAAAAAAAGTTGAAAAAATTATCTATTCTTCCCAGCGATTTTTCGGTCAGGTGTCTTTGAACAAGTTGTTTTATGCAACATCTACCAGCTTCCAGTGATGAAATGACATACACTCGGTCATACGTAAACTCAACTTGATGAAAGCTAACAACGGCCATCATGAGAGCATTAAATTTTTTTCTAAATTTGTCGGCAATGTCTAATTCTTCATTGTTGAACTGATCATTTTTGTAAAGAACACCAATTTTTATTATTGTTTTGATTAAATGTTTTATCACTTTTTCAGCGGTTTTCTTATCGCAGAACTCTTTCACCAATTTATATAAATTGTCCAAAACTCTCCCGCTCACATCATCGATGAATGTAGTTATTATTTTTCTAGATGTAAACTTTCCCAATATTTTTTTTTGGGCTCTCAAACTTATACTTTGCACATCCAAATGATCTGACACTATAGAAATATATAAAAATACATTTACAACATTTTTCAGTAACTCATTTTATAATAATTAAAAGTTTATTATTCGAACATTCATTAGTCCGGTTTCTTTTGATGTCAGGTCATAATAATCAGAACTTAATGTTAAAAAAACAAGCAATAATGCCACATACACAAAAACCACTCAGATGATTGAGTTTAGAGCTAAAACAGCCATCCTGTGTAGAAATAATGTTGATGCCGCGCATTCGATGCGATGTGTTCATATTTTTACTTTCATTTGTGGGTTTGAACGTTATAACTTTTAACTTACATTTATAACAATTTTTCGAACCTCTATTCTTTTATTTGCTCTTTTCAATTTTTATATAAAAGTTGCAAATACGATTTAACCTAATTTTTAACGCCAAATTCATTGCCAAAAAAATCATATCAACGTCAATTTATTTCGAATAATACACAGGATAAGCCATCGTCTTTAATACTGAAAAAACACATAACTTTTTTCAGTATATTTTAAAGCCTAAATATAGTTATTTCACCAAAAGAACAATAACATTGACTCATTAAAAGTGTTTTTAAGGTATTTTCTTTTAGTAATGATATTTGAGTAAAGCCATAATGCAAAAGTTAAAAATTTCTCGGACTCGTTATTTTGTTATCCGGAGTAATATTTTAAGGGACCGGAGTCTGAATATTGTAAGGGACCGGGAAACAATCAATATTCCTTTAACACCCTTTTAGGATCTGATTAGAAGATTCCGACCAACTTGTCTATATCTTTTTCTATGTCGCCTGGTAACAAGACAAATACAAGAACAGTTGAGGAACATCATAAATTGATGCTAGGTAATTTCAACACTTATTGCGTCAATGAACCTAACAAAATAAATAAAACTGAATCTTAGTGCATTTCTACTGTTGCCATTTTTACAAAGAAAAGCATCTGCATAAAATTTTGAAACTCACACATTATTTCCAATGTTAAAATACTTTTCTATCATTTTAATGAAAGTGAAATCTCTTCATGTTTGGTATCAATAAACCATACAGAAATATAACCATTATATAATCTAGCAAAAATACCCCGAGGGTCATCTCTTAAATGTAAGTAAATCCCGAATCATATCAAGTTATCTCATTTGATAATTTTTACAGTAAAAATTAACAAGTTTTGGCATTCAAAAAAAGACAAGAAATAAATAAATTTGCAAACCTTACTTGTATTATTACTATAAAATATCCAACGGAAAGGCTTGCAAACAACCCTGTTTAAAAAAATAATTAAAACTTTTTTATTTAACAACTCTCTATTTTTAACAATGGCCATTAAAAATTTGTAAGACTATAATATGATAAAAACCTGAAGATAATTTAACAAGTTTGTGATATAGAATATATTTCTAAGTCAAAAGCGCGATAAAAGAAACCTTAAAAATTTTACATATAAGTAGCAAACAATGTTCAGACTTTTTTCCAGACTAATTTCAAGTCAGGATTATAAAGATGCGCTTATCGCTCACATGTTCAAAAGGAAAGACGATAATTCTTGTTGTGATGACCTTGGAGAGATTACCCTGATCTCAATTCCCGGTAAATTACTGGCTCGGGTGATTGTCAATTGTCTGACTAAACACGTCAACTATATTGGTATCCTTCCAGATGGTCAATGTGGTTTTTCGGGCTGGGCGTGATACAAGCGATATAATCTTTACTGCTAGACAGCTATAGGAAAACTGTCTGGAGCAGCAACGCGGTCTATATTTCTTCTTTGTCTATATAATCAAAGAATTCGACTCAGTAAACTTTGGAGCTCTCTGGGACGGTCTGGTAAAGATTGGCTATCCACCAGTTTTTGTTTCTATTGTTCGCTCCTTCCAAGACGGTATAAGAGCCAGCGTGATTGAAAATGGAAAACATCCTTTGGAATTCGAGGCTGGTAATGGTACTAAGCAGAGATGCGTCATGACTCCTTTGCTGTTTAAAGTTTACTTTTCCTTAATGCTGCAGGTTTCTTTTTAAAACTGTTGCAAAGGCATGCATAAATGCTATCGCTTGGATAGAGATGTCTTTAACATCAGACGTGTACAAGCATAGTCAAAGACGAAGATAGTCATTGTTCGCGACCTTCTCTTTGCCGATGATTGTGCTCTGGTTTGTACGTTCAATCTCTTTTCAATCGTTCTTTGCGGCAGCTAAATATTTGAACTCACAGTGAGTTTAAAGAAAACAGAAGACTTATATTAAAACTACCCAATCTTATTGAATTCAACAGCCACAGTATCAGCAGACGGCTTGTAGAAGGAAAAAATTTTGTTATCTTGGCAGCTACATCTCAAATACCATTGCCATCGATAATAATATCATAGCTAGGCTAGTAGACTGGTGCTGCATTTTGGGGATTTGGTAGACGTCTCTGGAGAGAACATGAAATATCTCTGGCTTCCGAAGTCGCAGTTTACAAGGCAGTTGTACTGACTAGTCTGCTATACGGTTGTAAAACATGGACGGCTTACCGACGTCACATATGAAAGCTCGATCAATTCCACGGGGAAGTTTTCCGAGCTATCGCTCACATCAAATGGGAAGATAGAATGTCAATAGTCATGGTATTGGAAAGGTGTGTTACTGTGGGTATCGAGTCTAGAGGCCCATTTTTGCTGGTCAGGGCACGTTGTCCGCATGTCAGATTTAAGAATTCAGAAGCAGGACTTTTGTGTGTTGCAAGTGATCCGTTTCGTAGATTCAAAGAAAGTCTAAGAAAAACTTAAAAAAGTGTGGACTGGATCCTAAAACATTTTACACTAAAGTCCAGCAGCGTACGGATGAGAGATCGAGCTCACAGGCGTCGTATTCCGCCTTTGAAAAAGCATGAATCGCAGCTATGTTTGACAAAAGGAAGCGGCGGAAACAGGTGGCCCAGAAGGTGCGGGTCTGTGGAACTTATGATCATGTTTGTCTAAAATTGGACTTTTTGCCCACATGAAGTCACACCAATGACCCATTTTTTCGTTCACAAATATGCAGTCCATATGTATATGTGAAAAAGAGTGAACTATCTATTTATGTTGCAGTTAATAAAGAGCGAAGTAGCTAAGGTGATAAAGTTGACCACTTGAGCCCAATTTTGAAAGAGTTGCATTGGTTGCCGGTTGAAGAGGAGAATGCATTTTAAAATATGTTGGTTAATTTGTAATTCTCTAAATGATGTGAAACGAAAAAACCAATTGATTACTTTTAAATATATGTTGAGGTCTAATGATTATAATTTCTTGCATGTGTCCAAAACAAATATCAAGATGGAATCACACAGCAATGAAATTGTTGGACCAAAATTAAAGACTTATATTTCCATCAAAAAAACTATTTCATCATCATAGTCTTTGCTAACATGCTAAGGTTGCAAGGGGAAATGAAAAACATGATATCCTAATTATAAAAGAAATCATAAATAACAATGCTGGCAAGTAATAAAAAAAACCAGCAAGAGGACAGAGAATAACAAAGAGGCAACCAATCAAAAACTTTTAAGAAAGAAAATATCAAGAATGAAAATATTTAAAGAACTTAAATTTTGTATAAACAAACACAAAAAGTATAAATTACATTATAATAAATTATATAAAAATAAATATAACGCAGCATAATATAGCACAGCATAAGAACTATATCTTTTCAGTATAAATAAAGATGGTAGAGTAGAATTAGAATGGTAGAGTAAAATGGTAGAGTAAAATTAAAGATTAAACATTAAGTTTTTTAATACTATTTACATTTAGAAATAACTTTAATATTTAATAATAAAAAGCTTTTACATTTGATGTTAAGATTTTTTTAAACTAAACCATGTATAGCTATTAAATTTATAAATTCAATAATTTTAAATTTAAATAAAAATAAAACAGAAAAATACTCAAAAACTTTACAATACAATGTAAATTGTAAGAAAAGTAAATGTGGAGAACACTGTGGCTGTAATATCTGATTCATTACTATAATAGTATAATTGTATAATATAAATAAATTGTAGTCTTAGCACAGCCTTAATTAAATATATTTATCTTGAATAATTTAATTTATATTTAATAATTTAATTTAATCATTTAATGTTTAATCTTAATGCATAAATTAAATTTTATCCCTTCAATTCAAACTAAGTACAACCTAATCTAATCTAACACCACAGAAAAAGTATATTACTTGACTAGTCAAACTCAAGATGCCAGATAACAGATCAATAAATTAAATTATTAAATCTTGACTAAAAAATCTAGCTGTTTTACATTTTAAATTGTTTAAAAAATTTAAAAAACTTTAAATTTTGAAAAATTAATTAATTTTTCATGTACATTCTGAATTTCTGATTCTGCAGTGTACAAAAAATGAAACTAAAAGCTACAGCAAACTAATGGCACAACCTCACACCTCCAGTTTTAAAATAATTGCATTCACCTTTAGTCCTTTATTAATTACTTTTTGTAAACATCAGTTCCTTATTCCCTGGGTAATTCCAAACATCGCGCGAATTGAAACACGAAACAAAAGACAACAACATAGCGGCAGTGAAGCTAGAAAACTAAAACAAAAGAAAATCCGATGAAGAGGGAAGAACACTCAATGGTTGACGCCATTGTAGAATAAATGCTGCTAGTTTACGATCATATATCGAAATAAATAAATAAATAGACAAATGAATAATTTTTTTGCTTGAGTTATGTATTATCCGAAGGGCTTTAACATTTATGCATCTTGGAAGCCGGCTTATCATATAGAACCCACGGGACGAACTCAAATCAACTATGTATCAATCATTATATATTTATACATTGGGATTTGAAAAATGTTTTAATGAATGTTATAATTTAAAAAATAATTTTATTCTACACTGTCTATTCTACAATGTCAATTGTTTTTTAAGCAGTTTTTCTTATACAAACATACTTCTGTCTTTCTAGTGCCTTATCCTTTCAGGACATTGGCGACCATCGATGTCCAAAAAACCCGATATTCAACAAGTTACACAAAAACTTCACAAATGTTATTTGTCGTTGACCGCGATCTTTTTTTCCTGCAATCTTTCCAGTAGTTGTTAGATTTTCCATTCTTTCCTTCTGCATGATATGACCAAAAAACTTTAGCTGCCCCCGTTAGATTAACTAGTAGTTTCCTTACTTCATAACCGAACTGTTTTAATACATCCTCATTTGAAGTATGAGAGATCCAAACAATTTTCATAATTCTTCTCAAAATCACATCTCAGCGGCGT